CACCGGTCTAATTCAGATTCAGATTTGACCATGCTGGGGGAAAGCTCAACAGAGTAAAGTTGATGCCTGCCCGCCAGCTACATTAAAGGGCTCAACAGAAGGACTATGGCGGCCATCCCGCCCGCTCCCCCACTGGAGCCACAAAATTCAGTTTCTCTACATATGCCTCTGGCGACGCTGAGGTGCTGTCCCTCTGCCAGAGCCCAGGGTGAGTGTCTGCGAGTGTGTTTGTCTGTGGGCCCTTTAAGAGAATTCCTGGATTTCTAGCAGCCTTCTTTCTCACCTGGGGAAATGGAATCATTGCTGATTTCACAACAAGATATTTTGTGGGGTCCTCTTCCTGGTGCTAGTATGATGGGCTGGGGAGCCCAGCCTGGGGCTGGGACCCTTTGCTCCTCAGAGGGTAACCTCTGCAGCTGAGATATCCCTTCGTATTCTCAACTGACACATGTGGGTATGGGGCCTGCCCATTTTGCAACTTTGCCTCTCCTATCAGTCTTGAAGTATCTTCTTTTTCACATCCTTAGTTATAGAATTTCTATTCAGCTAGTCTTCAGATGGTTTTCTAGGTTGATTGTTCTATAATTTAGTTCTGATTTTGATGTGGTCATGGGAGGAGGTGAGCACAGCTCTACCTGCTCCACCATTTGTACCAAAATCCTTTAGTGGCACATTTTCACTTTCTCCTTTTTAAATATCATCGATCAAAAAGAAGACCTAGTAATGAATATAAAACTTAATCAATTCTAGTAATGGAGGTATTAACATTGTGGAATGTAAAACATATTTTATTATTTTTAATGATTAGTATTTTGCAGTTTTCAGCAATTCCTTACTGATTGCTATGAAAAGGTATTATTGGAACATAACTATATTTTGTGATATGATAATTTGTCTTTTTCTTATTTTCTTTTAAACTTTCCCACTGGTGCTATCTTTATTTCCAGTGGGGATTTCCATAATATAGGAGAGGCATTTACTACCTTCCCTTGTTTGCCAATATGTGAACAGAAATTGTTTCAAGTTCACTGGATTTTTATTTTTAAATGCTAAATTTGATATAAAGCAAATTTCACCTTTTTAAAAGGTTTATTTATTTTTAGAGAGAGGGGAAAAGAGTAAGAGAGAGGGAGTGAAACATCAATGTGTGAGAGATATATCAATCAACTGTCTCCTGCACACCCCCAAGCAGGGACCTGGCTTGCAGCCTAGGCATGTGCCCTGACCGGGAATCAAACTGGCAATCCTTTGTTTTGCAGACAGGCACTCAATCCATTGAGCCACACCAGCCAGGACCAAATTTCACTTTAATAAAAAATGTCAAATAAACTTTGGCCTCTAAATTATGTGATGTGTATAATAAATACTATCATAATTAGCCTTCTTCCCCCAAATGATGATGAGTTTGGCACTGGAGAAGAGATAGTGGAGTAGTTTTGTGTTGAAGAGTAAAATTGGAATCTTAAATTATTTAAAAATCTAAGAGAAGAAGATACAGATTTTTGGTGAATTTATAGTAGTTTTTAAATGTACAAACCAGTATTGTCACTCTCGGAAGAGAAATGAAGAAACAAGGAAGATAAGTCAGGTTGAGAGTTAAATTAAGACTCAAGGGGGGAATTTCAAAGAGATGCCATGTATTTGAATATTGTTTTTGGTTTAATTGATTTCTCCTGAGTCCAGGATGGAGTGGATTTCAAAGAATCATAAAAATCCAGGAAAGTAATTATGGATGCTGAGCATCCAGCTGTACCTATCTAGGACAGACTCTGCAACAGTAATCTATGACTTAAATATAAAAGCATGAAAATGACAACAATGATGGTGTAAAGGAAGGTAGCCCTAGGTTGTCTGAGGCATCCTATGCCTGATTTGTTAATACATGGTCATACCACAGCTTACATGGAAATGCACACGGGAATGAACAGAAAACATCCACAATTTTCTAAGAGACAGAAAAGGAAAATAGCTTCTAGCTGAAATTATGGTTAAAGGGTAAATTCAAGATGAGTAATAAGGAAATACCATCTGTTTTGTTTTTGTTTTTTTTTGTTTTTTTGTTTTTTTTGGTTTTAATTTACTTTTAGAAAGAGGGGAAGGGAGAAAGAGAGAGACAGAAACATCAATGTGTGGTTGCCTCTTGCACACTCCCTACTGGGGACCTGGCTCACAACCCAGGCATGTGCCCTGACTGGGAATGGAACTGGCAACACTTTGGTTTGCAGGCCGGTGCTCAATCCACTGAGCCACACCAGCCAGGGCTGAGGAAACAGTATCTTATCTTGCTTGAGCTATCGCAATAATTTTTAAAGTATTCTCCCAGCATTCACTTTGTCCTTCTATAGCTATTGGGTTGGCCAGAAAGCTCATTTGGTTTTTTCGTAAGTTGGCTTTAGTAGTCCTTAATTGTCTTTAACTTTATTTGAAATTATTTTGTTAGATTGTATTGTGATAGCTGTCATATCAGTGTGCATTAAAAAACATCAAAATTGGTGAATTTCTGTGTAGTCATTTTAATATTGAAGATGAAAGAAAATAAGCAACATTTCAGCATATTATGCTTTATTATTTTAAGAAAGATAAAACAGAACTGAAACACACAAAAAAAATTTGTGCAGTATATGGAGAAGGTGCTGTGATTGATCGAACATGTCAAAAGAGGTTTGCCAAGTTCTGTGCTAGAAATTTCTGTGCTAGAAAATTCTAGCTGGATGATGCTCCATGGTTGGGTGGACAAGTTGAAGTTGATAGCAATCAAATTGAGCATTAATTGAGATCAATCAACATTCTATCACATGGGAAACAGCTGACATACTTAAAATATCCCAATCAGTAAAGTTATTAGTGAAAATGAAAAATGTGTCTTTTACAGAAAAAAAACCATATGGACTTTTTTGCCAACACAATATTTCCAAATATAGCAGAATGATTTCATTAGGTTTAAAACAAATCACGTCAGCCTTCCACTGAAACTTTCTATGATTTCCCACATATCTCAGAGTGAAGGGGAAAAAAGCAAGAGAACTTTAAATTGTCTATAAGGCAACTACTGTGGCCCACTTTACTTCTTGGAGCTAATCAATTCTTTACTTCTCTCATTTCACTTAGGACGCTATTTGCTCAATTGTTTGTCTACTCTAGCTGGCATAGTTCTATCTCATAGATTTTGAGCCTCCCATATCCTTTACTTGACTGATTCTTACCCCAGAAATTTGCAGGCCTTTCCCCTCTTTCAAGTCTCTGCAGAAATACTACTTTCTTAATGTGGCTTCCTCTTATTTAAAATGAGCAACCCTCCTTCGTGTACGTTCTTAATCTCCCTTATCCTCCATATATTTTCAGAACTCTTATCATAGTCCAATTAACTCTATTGTTTACTTGCTATCTTTCTTGCACACCATCTTCTTTCCTCTATAGAATGTTGACTCTAAAAGGACAGAGAATTTTATTTTATACTGATATGTCTCAGAAAATAGACATAGCTATTTATAGTAGCTGCAATAATGTAGATGTTCAAAAAATGTTTTTGTCATTGTTGAAAAAATTATTTAAAGACAAGCAGTAAAATGTTAATATAGGTTGTTCGGCAAAAATTGTCAAGGATCTATATAAATCACCGAAGTCTGGAAAATAGTTCTAATTACCATTTCATCAGAATCATAATTATCAGCACCTCCTAAATGTATTTTTTTTCAGGCCCCAGCTGTTTAGATTTCTAAAATTCCATCTTCCTTTTTCATTCTTATGTGCTTCATTTACCATTTCCTTCAAAATTTTTACTGCCTCTTCTATAAACTTTCTAATACCTCAACCTAATGAAAGGACCGAGTAAGTTTTTTATATTCTACTTTTTACAAGGCATTGTGCAAGAGAAAGGTCTCCTTAGGTTTGTTTTATTTAGAATAAATAATAGCTAACTTGAGACACATGGTGAATCCACAGTATATACTTCCTGACACATCCCTCCCAGGGGCTGGCTCCCCTGATCCAAGCACCCCCCACACTCTATATTAATATGCCTGATTCCGCCAGCTAGCGCTCCAAATACAGAAAAGTATGAGTAGAATAGTATAATTCTATTGTACTGATTTGGAATTTTTGGACATGACCTGAAACAAACTTTTCATTTCCTTCTCAGCTTAGGATATTTGGGCACAAATTGTTACCTACCTTCCTAAAGTCACAAGTAGTTAGTAATAATCTCACAAGTCTTTACTCCAGTAAAATGTGGTCATGATTGTGATGTACCTGATGTGCTTAAAATGTTAAATTGAGTCCACATACTGAAAGAAGAAAAAATATTGAATTGACAACCAGAAAGAGCTTTTAAAGCTAATTCTGTCGCTAAGCAGCTGTGTGACCTCAGAGGAATTTCTCACCTAGCTCAATCTCCCGTTTTGTAAAATGAAAGCGTAGGCTCCATTCGATATCCTCCACAAGGCCCCTGTTGTGCTGACATTCTATACATAAGATGATTTTATACTATAGCCTTGGAGAAAGGAAGAGGCTGATCCTATAGTCTCTTCTGTTTTCTCAAAAGCACAGAGAGGTTAAACTTAATCTAAGTGACTCAGTGAATGTATGATGGGTAAGGAGTATGTAATATATCCCTCTGAGTGATTATTGTTTTTCAGAATCTGAAGGAATCTCTCTGCAATTGTAAGGTGTTGCCTTCTTTACACAGTTAAACAGGAAGTACAAACAGATGAACAAAAGAGATCTGAGAGGCACAGCCCCTTTTGTAATTGTTCAGACACAGACCGCCCAAATAGAAAACACATGCTATTTCCCCTTTGCCTGACCAATTTGGCATTCAGAGTACAAATTCACGGCAGAGGGGTTGGGCCTCTCCAGGCAGGAACTGGAGTCAGAGGCTTCCCTGCTACTTGCTGAGACAGAAGAACATCAGGAATGCCTTTCAGTGCCTTGGTTCCTGAGCTGTCTCATAGAAGCCAGGCAGCTTGGAGCAATCTAACCACAGCTCACCCTCACCTCTGCAGGAGCCCCGATGCAGGCCAAGTACAGCAGCACGAGGAACATGCTGGATGCTGATGGGGACACCACCATAAGCCTGCATTCTCAAGCCTCTACCACATCTCGTCGCCCGGAGCGTGGGCACCCAGGTACTCTGTCTCTTGGAGTCCAAATTGGCCAGCCCCTTGAGAAATGCATGAGATGAACTACTTCTCTGAGGAATGCACAAAATAGAGGAAAGACAGATGAATGTTTCATGATTTACAATTCATGGGAACTGTTCATTTTCACCACTTGCATGTGACCTCCTATATGAATGTCTGAAAAATTAAACTCAGTATATACACAGATGTTTGTTTTTCTAAGATTCTCTTCCTGGCAGAGGGCTTTGCAGTCACGGGTGTGTTGTTTCTACCTTGCCAGTTAGGTAGAGCATACAAAGGTGAGACTGTACGTACAAGTAAAGCGTTGTGCCTTCCCCTCCTGCCATTCCACGAAGGCCAAACCCAATGCTGTTTTATTTACCGTCTGTGATCCGATCTGGATATTTAGATTTATAAAGGCTATTTTTTTTGTTAGTTCTGCACTCATGACTTTGGAGGGGGGTTTCTAAGCAGATACATCAAACCTGGTATTTTGTTATGATTGTTCTGCACCGTGAAGTTGTGAGGCCTTGGGAGAGTCATATCAACGTCAAGTGTTTGGCTTTATCATCTGCGAAATAAGGGAGGAGATCAAAGCAAACCCCTTCTAAGTTCGCTTCAGCCCTGTCATTCTGTGATCCAATGATTTATATGGTGGCCTCAGGTGTAGTGACATCCCATCCCCTCTTCCATTTTGTTCTACTGAGTTCTAGAATACTATTGAGATGATCGAATTAAATTATGAACATTTAATTTCAGCTACATTTAGCTTCCATCTTTTGCTTTTATTTCCAATGATTCACTCTGTGATATATTAATAAAATATGTATTTTCAGTCCATAGAGAGGTAATTCACATACGTAGAGAAAGGTCTTATTTCCCAGGTAACTCAGCCAATCTAAGGTAAAAATGTGCGTTGAGGTCTAGCGAAAAGGTCTCACTGCTATACAGACAGGACAAGGTTCTAACACCAGGTAAGTCACTTACTAACTGTGATATTGGACCTGGTACTTAAGTATTATGGGGCCTCAGTTTCTTCATTTATAAAATGCTAATGATGATAAACATGCATATAGTGATTATTACATTCCTGGTATTGCTTTAAGTGCTTTATACATATTAATTCATATTAACTTTAACCAACATTACCCAGAAGCAACAAATCCTCATACATAAGGTGGCTGTGAGTACTAAGGTTGTAAGCTATGTAAAGTCCTTGGTACATTGCAGAGACACCAAAAATGCGAGTTTCTTTTCAATAACCCATTCCTTGGGAATTCCTAAAGAGTTCTGTTTACATTTTTGTGTCAGTCTGTATCAGAGAAACCCTCACTTAATGTCTGTATCTTAACATACCCTTTCTCTTTTAATGATAACCTGGTTTACTTTACCTTTGTAAATCTGCACACACACTTTTTCCCTGTCGTCTTCCATTTCTCTTTATCTGTAGGTTTTATTTCTTAGCCGACTAAATCTTTCCATTCATTTTCTATTTATTGAATGATCTGCTGCCTGAGAATCTCTGATGTGGGTTTTTTTCCCCCTATCACAACCATCTAGTAAGCTGTGAGGGGATATTGGAGGATTTCCAGCCTCCTTTATGTGAAACAAAGTGACAACTTTGGAATGTCAGTTTTTGCACCCACTAGATGTGTAATAAGATATAATATGTTTTCCTCCAACAAATCCTGTGAAGAGTTGGAGCTTAGGGCTGTGGTTTTAAGTGGCTTGTGCATTATAACTTCATGTTTCATCTTTGTTGAGAGCCAGGAACTCTCACAAGGAATAGCAATCAGCATAATGAGGAACAGGGTGTACAAATAAGTTCTGCTGAGGATGGAGGGTGGAGAGGGAGGGGGAGTGAGATAAAACACTAAATAAAACAACTGGCAGCCTTTCTGTAAGAAGTGGAAATTGAAACAGTAGTAGATAGAGATTTCAAAGCAGTGTCTTCCAGGAAAACATCGCATCTGAAAATATTGGGTTGGCCAAAGAGTCCGTATGGTTTTTTTCCTGTAAAGTAAAATACACATTTTTCATTTTCACCAATAACTTTATTGATTTGAATATTTTGAGTATGTCGGCTATCTCCCATGTGATAGAATGTTGACTGATCTCAATTAATGTCTCTATTTGATTGCTACCAACTTCAGCTGGTCTACCTGACCGTGGAGCATCATCCAACAAGAAGGCTCTAGCACGGAACTTCGCAAACCACTTTTGACATGTTCAGTCAATCACAGCATATACTGCACATACTTCCCATATACTTCCCATATACTGCACAGATCTTTTTTTCTGCATTTCAGTTGCATTTTTACCTTTCTTGAAATAAAGCAGAATGTGCCAAAATGTTACTTATTTTCTTCCATTTTCAACATTAAAATGTCTACACAAAAATTCACCAATTTTGATAAGTTTTTAAAAATGCACGCTGATACGACAGCTGTCACAATACAGTCTAACAAAATTGTTTCAAATAAAGTAAAAGACAACTAAGCGCTACTAGGTCTATCTTATGGAAAAAACCAAATGGCCATTTTGGACAGCAATAGTTATCTTACCCTACATGTGTGAAATCTTGTTTTAATCTTGTGATAATGCAAGTACTTAGAGAAATGTCACTATAGAAGTCTAATTATTTCTTTAAAAAATAGGTCTGAAATACTTTTGTTGTTAAAAAGGCAGGGTAAAAAAATCTCTGGGATTTTTTTTTTTTTTTTCAATGCAGAGGACTGAGATTCAACATAATATTGTGGCACAATTACAACTATAAAATTTTAGAATTAATAAAAATAAGTGATACATTTATTTATTTTCTAGATTTTCATTTTTTTCAATGTGAAATAGTTTGCATTTTTTAAAATAGTTAAACAATTAGAAAGATAGAAAACGAAAATACAAGTTTATTAATTTGCCTTCTTTCCATAAACTTATGCTTGTGGTCATGCTATCCCAGGCCTATTACAAAGTACTGAGGATATAATGCCAAACATCATATGGCCCCTGTCAATGAGGAAACTTAAATTCTAATACAGTTCCCAACTCAGCAATTAGTGTGATAAATGCCATGATGAAAGCATTTACATGGTACAATGGAGAACGCGGGTCACTTCTATCTGGTAGGGGTAAAGGGGATCACAAAAATTTTGAGAGGGGGTAATCGTTCAGTTGAGTTGACTTTGAGATATTCCTCATGATATGGAAGCACAAATGGGAAGGTTTAAGGAGCTGAGTGCTCTACAGGCAGACACATGAGAGAAAAGCCAAGGAGGTCTTCATTAGCTTTCTGTTTCAGAGAATTAGGCTGAGGTGTAGAGTTGGAGGGGAGAAGTTTGACAAGAACTTAAGTCTGGAAAATTAAGGAGGACCTAGTATGTCACACTGAGGTATTCTGATTCTATTCAGTAGGTAAAGTGAGTTAACTGAAGATCTAAGCTAGTAGTAATATAATCCATTTTGTGTTTTTAGAAGACCATATAGGCTATGATGTGGAAGATGGATTGCAAGAGTATGAAATTGGATGAGCTAATACAGATTTTGCACTAGTAGAGGTATGGGATTAGAAGGACCTGAACTGAGTTAGTATGGGAATGAGGAGAAGAAATCAGATATGAAAGATGAGAGGAGGAAGAATTTAAAGAATAGGTGAATGGGTACAGAGGAAGACAAGGAAAGGGAGAGAAGAGGTTGGCCAGGTTCTGTCTGATATCATGTAGATGGTGCTGCCATTAACTGAGATGGAAACTGCAGGAAGAATAGGAAAGATGATGAATTTAGTTTGAGTTTGAGATGTCTGTAAGAAAAGGGACATACAGTTGGTATTGCCCAAAGACACTTGTATTTACAGTATGTGAATTGGAGGTAAAGATTCTGAGTTACATATTTACGTGAAAATTGTCAGCATTTAGGTAGGAATTAAACTTTCTGAGAATGAGTGATATCACGGAGGAAGGGAATGTAAAATGAAAAAGCAAAATAAAAATGGAAAAGAAGGGTGCCAATGAGAGAATTTTAGGAAATACAGTACTGAGGGGCAGGCTGGGCAAAAGATTTCAATAGGACAGTGGTAGAAGTGGACCAGGAGAGAGGAGCATACAGGGACAATAAAACAAATGGAAAAGCTGACACTAGTGAATAGTGATTTTTAAAAGTAACAATAAATGCTGCATAGACTTCAAGGAAGAGGAAGGCTACCAACAATTTTTTGTTTAACAATAAAAAGGAAAATAGAATATTGGTAATTTTTAATAACATGGATTTAAAAGCAACTAATAGTTAAGAAAATAAATAGTCATTTTCTCTTTTTTTCTTTTTCTCCTCTTTTTTAAAGAGCCTAAGTGTAAACAGAAAAGATAATTTGTTAGAGCTAAGGTGTTATGGAGCTGTGTGAGTACTTTTTAATACTATTTCTTAGGTTCTGGGAAGTTCTTTCTCAATTGCAACTTGAAAAATGTACAGTTGGAACACTTCACAGTACTAATTAATATATAGGGAAGAGAAAATGACATAAAATTGATGGGTCAAAATTCCTGCTAAAGGTTAAATGTAACTCTATCAAAAAGAATATGAAAACCCATTTAGATTGAGTGAATAAAAATTATTGACAAATTCTAGTTCCACTACTCATATTACTCATATTAATTACAATATTTCCCAACATTTCTTGCATTTTTTCTCAACTATAACATAAACACTCTGTTGATGATTCATGGCATAAATCATATCTAATTAATTCAATAAATCTTTAAAGCATACTACTAAACATCAAGACTTATGGCAGACACTGTAGGGTAGGGACTCTATTTTTAGGTGTTTGGAGAAGTAGAAGGAATTATCTGAATCAATAATTATAAGATAATATTATGTAGTGCTATAGAATATATGTAGGAGGACACAAAAGCAAATAGGAATGAATAACTTACTGTGTTTACTCGTGTGCATATTTTTGAATGAGGTGTCATTGGATCTGGTCTGTAAGACTGAGTCCAAGTTTTCCAGGTAGA